TTTATGATCATGTGTCTGACTAGTTGAATATTTCTAGGTTTTTTTTTAGTCTGGCAGTGATCCACTCATCCAAGGTCTTAGTGCTGAACAACAGCTAGCTAATCTTACAAAGGCACTTTTAAATTTTACCTATGTACACATAGTAAAAGAGTTAAGAATTGGGGGTTTTATTGTAATTAAACTTCTAGAACATAAAGTCTATGCTTTCAAGGTCTCTTCAGTAGTAAAGCAATCTTGATTAATTACTCATATTTCTCTGTGAAAGCTGTGGATGGTTTAACTTAATAATGACTTTGCAATGAATAAAATTGCAAGCTTCAAAAATGATAAATATTTTACAAACTCTACTTAAAACTCTCTGACTCAGAGGAAAAATTACAGTCTAATATTTGCATAATCTTAATACTTCATCATATTGTTACTTGACATTTCTGAAAAACCAAGAGAAAGATCAAGGCGGTAAGATTCAGCTGTGTCTGTGTTGCTGCAATGCCACATAATTTGTACACATCAAGATGCTGCACAATTCCATTGTCAGTACATTTGAGGTTATTTTCTTACAAGAGTCATGTGAAGGAGTGGGATAATGCTAATACATGGCTCATTTTTCACAGCAAAATAATTTATTAGTTTTTGATTCTTGACTCATCAACTCTTCAGCTGGCATTCTTTCCACAAAAAAATTAACTCTGCTAATCAATATGTCCAGGTGCCAAACTTTTATGCTACTAGTAAGTCACTGAAATGTACCAGTGTTGTTGTGTGAGCTAACTCACATCATGAAAGGATTATTTGCTAGTTAAATAAAACACAGAATTTCCTCAGTATGCACACACATAAGCAAATATAATCCAGCACCAAATACCAACGTTGTACTTCCACTGGTTTTATATATGTTATTTCCCAAAGGCTGATTTTCAGGAAGCAGTAAATTGAGCAGAAATTAGTAGTTTATACTGGTGTCTGAATTCTGAATTCAGTTTCTGCAGCAGCATCAGACTAGTTTTGCTTGCAGCAAAAGGGTCGCTTTGATTTGCTTTCTGTCAAAAAAGTATTTTTAATAGGTCTGGTGTTTAGAAATCTGCTATGCATGAAGAGGTTTCTCTATACAGCATTGCACTTCTGGCCTTTCTGCCTGACTCATGCTATTTACTGAGTTTTCTCCAGCAGCCTCTGTAGCTACTGGTTTTCACTAACCAGTAGTTTGCTTTCACAGATGCTTCTTTCTTAGTGGAGTCTTTACTTAACTCATTCTCTTCCACTGGAAGCTGAATGTGGGAGTAATTTTATTCAGTTATACTTCCTTTGCACATACTCTATGCCCTTACTATTTTATTTCCTCTGAAATGTTCATTTTTTATAGCTATCCATTCTAACTCATTTTCCTTTGAATTCAGTTCCCTAACTACTTCCTTTTGAGCTGTACTTGAAAGGGCTTGAAGGTTCAAGTCTTTTCTCTGGGTTTGGGGTGGGGTTTTTTTTGTATTCTTTCATCTTTCTGTAGAATTTCACGTGTCTCAAAGTAGGTCTGTGTTATGATTCTGTAAGTCAGGAAATACAGTTAATAGATACTTTTCTTATTTCTTAAAAAAGGAGTGTTTTAACATTGTAAATTATTAAATACCCAAAGTATATTTCTTTCATTTAAAAAAATCATACTATTCACTTTGAATTCTGATTTATATTGTAATAGATATTATTCATAGAAAGGTATATTTGTAGCACCGTTTCCTAAGCAGTACTGAACTACAAGATCTGACTTCCCATCAATGCACTACAAATTTACATGTAGTAAATTAAAAAATAAAGAATACCTTCCTATAGTTTTTCTTCTGTTTTTTGTTTTCATGTAATGCTGATCCATGTCTTTTATTTGCTCTACTGCAGGAAACTCATCAGTAAAATCTGTCTGGCTGATATTTTTCACCTTGTTAAATAAAACCAAGATAATTAGACAGAATCACACAAAATCGTGTCTGCTTTTCTTCCAGTATAAAATAAAGGAATTGGAGGTATTCTTGAACTTGTTGATAACATATGTTTTGAGGATAGAATGTTTACCACAAGAACTGTTATATTTCTGAGACTATATGAGAAGAAAAAATATACATGGGATTGTATCTTCAAATAGCAAAAGGAGCATGTTTAGTTATATTTTATTTAATTATATAAGTTTGTCCTTAATTCTACCTGCCTGAGTTTTCACTCTACTTGGGCAAGCTTGGTCTTTCTTTCCAAATTTCTATTTTGTTAAGGGAGAAACACCTTCTTATCATTTAAACAAATTCTACTGGAAGTGAGGAAATACTAATACTGGCTTAGAATCAGCTGCCATTTATCTTTTGTTGTCAGTCTTTGCCTAATATCATCTTTGGCATTTCTGATTGATTTACTGTCTGATCCATACTATAGGGATATTTTATGCATCTTTGCATTAGTTCTGCTCTTTCAAACATTACACCTCTAGGCATCTCATGAGTAAAGGCTGGCAATTCTACATCTTGGTCAGTTATTTACATCTTCATATCCCATTTCCACCTTCAAAAATACAAAAATCCCTTGGCCTTGAAAATGTTTAATTTTGATGATAAACAGGATCTGGAAGCATATTGTTTGATTTCTGATATTCAGCTCCCATAGAATTTTTTGCAGGCCATGACAAGTGAGGCTAAGATTTATTTTGTGTGACAGAAACCCTGGCTATACAGACATGCTATTTCTGTCTCTGCAATCTGGTAGAATTGCAAGGCAATATCAGATTTAAAAAGAAGATGCTGCACAGCACCTTTGTGAATACTTTTAGGTAAAAAGATACACTGTTTTTTCCGTCCTGTTGTTCTCCATAACACTCAGCTATATTTGGTTATAGAAAGTGGATTTGGTGGTTTTCTTGCAAGATCTTCAAAGCAGCATATGTAATTAAATTGATTTCAGTATGCTTTGACAAGTTACTTTTAAAGATTACAGATTTCTGGAAATAAAAACCTAGGACTTGACTTCATTACTCCCAGACATCTCCTGTTCCTCTCTTGGATACTCCATACCAATAGAGTATTTTACAATGAAGGTGTGGGTTCTTTCCTGGGTTTTGGGGTTTTTTAATTAAAGTGGAGTTCAGAAGATGACTAACAGTGATGATTTTCTGACAGTAATATAGTTTAACATGTCATTACATTTTTTTGGTTTCTTGGTCAGGACATTTTCTGTTTAACCCTTTAAAATGGCATTATCAATAAAACATTGTATAGCCTCATTCTTTGAAATCATGATGATAACAGTTTACTAAATGTTACTGGTTAACTGAAAATACCTAAATATCTGTCTTCATTAACAGCCAAAATTTCTGAAAAGACTTGTGAAAGATTTAAATAAAGTATTTAAATAGTGGAAAATAATTTCTTGTACTTAAAATATTGTAGGAACCAGAGTGCTGCTTCTGTTCTGTTGAGCACTTCTTACCCAGCTACTGTGAGGTATTGTTGTATTTTTTAAGTTTACTCAGAATTTAAGGCTCAGAACACAAGAAAACTTCTGTTGTTGAAATGTGGAAATTAATCCCATAATGTTTAGTAATCAACTATAATTTATTTTATTTCTAGTGACAGAAGGTAAATGCATTACCTGTTTTACACATGGTTTTATTCGGTTCTTGCCTCTTTACCGGCAGTTCTCTGTTGGAAAGGATTTCACACAATAGTTCCAGGATATTTTCCTTATACAGTGCCCAGTACACCATCTTCAGAGAAGGAAACTAAAGTCTTGCAGGCACATGGAAATGGTGTGTGTGTGGGTGTGGGGGGGGGGGGGAGCGGTGTGTGGAGGGGAAAGGCACTGAAGTTTATATAAGTGGAAGAAAAAAAAATAAGGGCGATAAAACACTGAACAACAATAGATATGACAGTAGAGTTCAGGGAAGAAAAACCAACAAATTTCTGAATGCCTGACATAGGTAGGCTATTGCTAACTATTAAATGTAAACTGAGTAGTATAAATGACCATTATGCATCCAGTCCTTGTGTCTGAGAGTTACAAGTAATACTGATTTTATAGTGCTGCTCACTATGTGTCAGTTTCTTGAGTTTTCTATTATTTTAACAACTTGTTGTAATCAATCATCTTTTTTTTTTTTTTGGTCTTTTTACATTCTCCTTAGAGGATAATTGCATTTAAAAATGGCTTGTGTAAATATTTATCTTTTATTCAAATAACTTCAGTGAACATTTATCAGAACCCTAATTTTAAAATTGAAAAAGTTTTTCAATTAAAAATCTTGGTCATGTAACTCAAAATGTGGAATTATCATATGCAGCCTGTACCTAGGTAAAATTCAGTAGGGGACCAGTTCAGTTTTAGAAATAGTTCCCTATTTTCTTTGGCTTGATTTTGAGTGCCCAGCAGGAGATACTTGAGCATCCACTAACAACACTAAAACCACAG